TTCGTAACTGGAGGGTACGAAGTAAGCTGGACCCTCGAACGGTCCATTCAGGTCTTTACAGCAGTATACCGACAGAGTAGTAGGTACATTGCTACCTTAGGACTAGTAGTAGTGGTGACTTACGTTTTCTATCCAGAATCTAGGTATCACCATCAGGCTATCATCAGATCTTGTCCCTGCTTGAACAGCTCCACCAAATACTGTAATCATTCTAGGCGCCTTGGGTACCTGGATCATTCTGCTGATCTGTTCTTTAACGTACTTCTTCCCCCTCCTCTTCTTCATCCTAGTCTATCTATCTATGTATCTACCCCTCGCTCGGCCGCCATCCCGCGCCGACCGTTGTTTCCGATAAGCCTCCATTTAAACGACTCGATAACTGGCGTAGAGACTGAATCTTGAAGGATCTGGATAGCTACCTAGTAAGTGTATCATCGTCACCATTCTATCCCACCGACCTATTTTCATTTGTCTGGAATCTGGGGGGCGCGGTGGTGGGTTACCGTCATCCAAACATCCTGCTACCAGATCTCTCCCCTTCCGATCACTTCCTCTTACTTTGACTTGTCGCATCTTGCTGACCATCCTGCAGTCTCGACTCCTCCCTCTCGACTTACCCTTTCTGATCTATCTTCCATTTTTCATCATTGCTTTTGCCTCTCTCTGCCTTATTTTTTTAGTCACCGCATTATTCTCATCTTTCCCCCTGGCCGTCGCGGCTCCATCCGTTCCTTGTAGGTACTTCAGCCGCTTACTACATTTCGCCTCCTCCACTTCTTCCTCTTTTGATCATTAATACCTAATCTATTCTTCACTTTCAGATAATCAAATTTGACTTCTTATTGTTCTTTACGGACCGTGCATCTAACGCGAGGAATCCGGGCCCAGTCTTCCAATCCTGGATCAGTTTCGTCGGCTTTCCGAGCTGTCTTAAACAAACCCACAACCAAAGGACTCGAAACCGCACGAGCGGTTCAGCTTGGGAAAGTTGATCGACCGAGTCCACCAAACTTCCTCCTGAGCTCCTTGCACAACCCGCCCTTTCCTCCATCTTCCTTATCCTCTCTTTCCTGTCATCTTCATCCTCCTCATCATCAGTATATACTTCTTTTACCTTCCTTCGGTCCATCTTCGAGAGATGCTACCGCTCAACGGATGACTGCGCCTCTCTCTCGTACAAACTCACTACCCTTGCTTCGTCATCCTCGTCAGGTACTCGGATAGACGGGCATCTTCCACATTCCTCCTACATTCCAGGCTCCCCTCTTTTGAGCGAGCGATTCAGTACGTAGCGGCTCTTTTCTTGTTCTCCTCCCCCTCCTTCCCTTGTATGTGGACCCGGTGGGCAAAAAGAGTCTACCCCTCTTGGATACCGTCCCCTTTGGCCGAGATTGACACACTCGTCGTTACATCTTTGCGACGGCGGTGAATTTGCTGACATTTGTATGCGAAAACTGTCCAGTCGCCGTTACGCGCTATAGTTACCGCGCCATTTAATCTTTCTCATCGAATTATATCGAATACTACATCTTATAACCGTGGGAGGATAAGCTTTCGTCAAATCTCGTTGTCGCTTCCTAGGGCGGAAGCCACACCATCGCCCACCCCTTCGTCGCCGTCAAAATGACTTCCTTTTTACCAGTAAATAATACGTCGTCGCCGCAAACTCGGCCCATGGAGGAGGTAGCAACTGCAACCACACCTCGACCTCATACGAATGTGTCAGCTACAGAAGAGAACAGGTCGCGAACTATGAACAGTGGCACAGAAGACGCAACTCCGCTCAACGTGCATAAGGTCCAAGAGGACTCGGCTTCTCGAACAAAACCGTTATTAGGACACAATGGAACTTCACATGGGGAATCCGATGCAGACCGTGATGGCTCCGATCATGAGTCCGACGCCGGAGGCAACGCCCCTCCATCAAAGAAGAAGAAAGGGCAACGGTTCTATTGTACAGATTTCCCGCCATGCAACTTGAGTTTTACCAGAAGCGAACATCTTGCCAGACATATCCGGAAACACACTGGGGAGCGTCCGTTTCAATGTCACTGTTCCAGGCGGTTTTCGCGCCTTGATAACCTTCGTCAACATGCCCAGACCGTGCATGTGAACGAGGAGATTCCTGGGGATTCGCTTGCAGCTACTGGAACACGTTTCCAACGGCAGATTCGCACCGACAGGGTCCGTCCTCAAGGTCGAGCTAGAGCCGGCACGGGGGGTAGTCAGGGAACGCATAGTCGGGGCCACAGCAGAAATCTTTCGACGTCGAGTATCGCATCGACGACGTCGACGTACAGTCAGCCTCCGGAGCTTCGCCGTCGACCGCCGCCATTAATCATGGCCAATGATGGGAGTGCCAGGGCTCGTCTTAGTCTGGATACGATGGCAGATATCCCCACAACTCCACCAGGCCAAGTGCGCGGCATTCCAGGTCCTGCCGTTGCAGTTGGTTCCCCTTACACACCTTCTCATCATCTTTTTGCTGCTGGTGGCAACGGAAGTCCTCACTTAGCTTCCGCGAGGCCTGCCGCCGCCCACATGTCGGGATTCTGGGACGGCAAGACGGCAGCTCGTCGTCTCTCAGTGCCCACCAGTGCGAATCCCTTTGCATCTCAACAACCGAACAATTATCCTCCCAGTCTTGTTGGATCGGCAACTCCTACAACGGCAGCATATCCGCCGGGCGGAGTCTTCGCAAGCCCCGTCAGCTCGACTCATTCGTTTTCCAGGGAGGAAAATGCATACAGTGCTGCTGATGCGGACCTGCGGAGACGGACCTGGCATCCTTCAACTCACTTTGCACTTCCCCGACCTGCCACTAGTGGATTGTCCCATTACCAAACTCCTGATACCGTTGACGCACCGGTCAGCGCAAGTGGCGCGACAGAACAGCCCCCCAGATTGCCCGGAATCGAAAGCTTCGACAAGGTTGTGTTACACCAGCGGCCTCTGACTCCTCCCGTCCGAAGGCCTAGTCCGATGCAGATTGACAGCCACAGCAAGCCATCGCCGAGTTATGCTTTGGGAGGAGGTTTCAATTATTCGCAGCCCGCGAACCGACCGGCCCCTCCGATATCTGGGCCCGGTCATCGCCGCGGTCACGTCTCCTGGGACATGTCACTACACACCAATCTCACAGGACTGCATATCAGGGACAAGCCTCTCCCCAGAGACGCGTCGCACTGGAGCCAGCAGACGATTGCAGAGCTACAGAATGTGTCATCCCGGCCGTCTTCGTCGTATCAACAACAAGTTCAGGAGTCGCGGGGAATTACTGGGCATTCTCCGTATGAGAAGATGCAGGGGTGGTATGGCAGCCATACCTCGGGTTCCCAGGCGACGCGGACATCCCCTGAAGACTCGAGTAGCAGTGAAGGCGTTCACACACCCTCTACCGCATCACTTGAGTACCACCCAGCCATTGTGCACAACAGCGGCTACATCGAGTCTCATCCACCTTCCATGACCTGCGATACATCTCACTCAGTACGCCCCCCGTTTCCTGGACATTCGATGACCGGCCACAGTCGCTAATGTACAATACAGGCTTGCCCCCCACTCTCGCAGTTTTCTGATGGCTATCAGCACAATGTGAAACCCGTTCCACGACCGGATTTCTATCACAATGCGTCCGCGCGGGACTCTGGGATGGGGAGACTCGAGGCACTTGTTGCAGTCGCCACGAGCGAAAATAAAACTACTGCAAAGTTATACGGATAAAAGGCAGTCCACAGCTTTCGTATGCTATCCGAGCAGATAGGGCTATTTTGATGTCGCGACTATTTCTCCCTCGGTTTATCCTTGAAATATTTGACCATCCTGCCGATTTAACCCGAATACTTTGAACTTTGCACTTTTGCACCTACGGTTCAGCATCAACGCCGAGACATTTATGAAGTGACGACTGATGATTCATGCATTGGGTTTTTTGTTTTTGAATTTGATCGCTGTGGAGGCTTGCTCTTTCGAATAGCAAGGACACGTTCGGGTATTCTCGAGTGATCGGTAGCTCGCGGTGATAATTGTTTTTGCATGTTCCGGCGTTGATTGGGGGATAGTGTGTTCTCTATGGCATGAAGATACCCTCGGCCTCGATCTCGGATATAGCTACTACTATGAAAGCGGGGTTTCCTACTCGGGTCGCGGTGGAATTTCACCTACTGAATTGTTTGATATACTCTGTCACTGCAGTCCTGTGATACGATTCGATTCTGTTTTAGTATATTTGTTGTGCGTCTATAAGAGACTGGGTATAGCCATTGCAATCTTGCAATCTGAGCGGGCTAAACTATTTTTAATGAAACTGTTACTAAATCGGATGATGTGCCATGTCCTGTTGGCTGGGGATGAGCTCACGGATACATGACGTCTACCCCACATGTTACACTCGACGACGTCAAAACCACAAGTACCAAGCGGGTAGGGGTACATTTTCTGGCCATCCCTATGAGACGCTCTCCGTATGATGATCATCAGGTGACGTCGATGGCAAGGTATTCTCATAGTGGTGCACATTACCCCAGATGGATACCTTTTATATGTGAGTATAGAGACCGACCGCCAACGGTCACCACAGGCTGATTAACTCTGACTGTATGTAGATAGCTCTAGCCAATTAATCACCTAGCTACGACCGAGATGGCATTGAAATTAAAGTCCAAGAAAAAAAAGGGGGAAATATTCGAATTGGAGAGGAATACTCCGTACGGGGTGCAGGACTGTGACACAGCTGACAGTAAGCTAGAGACCTAGCTAAGGTAGTATCTCGTCGACAACGTCATAGGCAGCCCAGCCCAGCCAGCCCAGTGACCAAGGCGATTTCTCCGCCCATACTTCACTCCCTGACCTTGGTTGCTAGCTCTCTTGCGTTTCTTTTGCCTCTTATTTATCTCAGTCTCTTCTTTCTGTTTGACTGGAAAGCTACTCCACAACCAGAATACCTCTGTACTCGGATTTCAACCCAACTGAAGACACATCCTTATTCACTCTCACCCACCATGTCCAAGAGCCGTACACCCATGTACCTTGGCCTGGCCGCCGCCGGCGGTCTAGGTTACTACATGTATCGGGCCGGCGGGAATCCCCAGATCGCGAAGAAGGAGATGGAGAGTGAGTTTCCTCTTTAGGAGGTTCTGGTTGATAGTATATGCATAGGTTTGCTAATGACTGTTGCTTCCAGTCGACGCCCACAAAGCCAAAGCAAAGATCCCCCGCGGCTCAGAAGCGGCCAGAGCCGGTGAGGAATTCGGCAAGGAGGTGAATGCCACTGGTGACGAGGCGGTAAGTTTATTACCTACCTACCCTTGAAGACTACTATTGGGTGACCGGAGAAGATGCTGATATGCTATGGGTAGATCAACAACGCCCGCACCAAGGCCAAGATGGACGAGCGCATCCCCGAGATCGCTCAGAATGGCAAGCACAAGCTTGACTCGCTGCGTTACCAGGCGGCGGATAAAGTCCGTGCTGGGGTTGACGAGGTGGACAAGAAGGTTGATCAGTTTGATCGCACGGTTGAGAAGAAGGCGGGTGAGGCGAAGGGGACTCTGTCGAGTTGGTTTGGAGGGAAGTAGGCTAGACTTCGCTTACCTCCTTTGCCTAAGGTACTTCGGACTTGCAGTGATGCATTCGAGTGGGATTTCGAAATCGGATTGGTTCACACCTGGGATGACGTTACGATTTGGGAGATGGGAATGGTGTACTCTCCTCCGTACTTTGATGGATAATTACTTTGTCGGTTGCAGCAGCAAACTTGCGATAATGAACTTTATGATAACTTGCATTTCCGATTAGCCCAAGAATGGGCTCGTTCGATAAGATAGATAGGCTTGGATAAGATTGGTGATCTGCATGCTCGCGTGGAATGTGACATTCCGTGTTGGTATTACTGTAGTGATCGAGTGGATGCCATTGTATCGATGCTGCGGCTTTGACTGAAAATGAATTTGTGTCTTCCAAAATTACATATATCTCGTCTTGAGTGTCAACAGCATAGTCTTGAATGAAAATAAGTACGAAAGAATTATCCCCAGTTATCTACGGAGTAATATTACCGCATTCGGCACTGTCACGCTAACGCGCGCCTTGACGCGTTCGCGCTCCGCTAAGAAAAACTAACACTCAGCGATCTCCATCGTTAGTCCCCTCGACCCATACACAGAGCTATATTCAATTGGAAACACCCTACTGGTAGTTTACTATTTTGCATACCTACCTTACCTTCCTATTATCCACATATGCTCCTACCTTACTATCATATTTTTTTAATCCCACCGTTAGTACAAGGGAAACCGCGATGCCGCGCACCTCCTCAAGACAGACCCGCCTTCCCCGAGGGCAGGTCGGCATCCAGAGCTTCGCAAGAGCGACCAAACCAGGCTCCTCAACGCTGCAAGACACTAAAAAAGCTGCTGCTGCACAGCTCCCCGTCTCGCCTTCCAAGAAGAGAAAACTCAATGAGCTCGAAAACGTCGACTGCGCCGCAGGGGAGCCCCGCCAGACCACCATCCCGGAAGAAGCTGGCACGCCTTCCAAAACCCTCCGCTTCAGTCAATTGTCTGTCTCGACGCCCCGGAGCGGTCACTATGCGTGTTCGAAGCCTGAGGCGTCACCTGCGCCTGCGCCGCCCTCCTCCCCTTCGAAGCGTGGCGGTGCCAGAGCCAAACGCTCCAGCAGTCCGATTGTCGTGGAGCGTCCGGCTTGTGTGGGGGAATTCTTGGGGCTGCATTCGGCTTTTCTGAAGGCGCTGGCGATTCACTCTGCGCATAATGGGGCAACGACCGCGGCGGATCTGCGGGAATTTCTTCATGCGGTCGAGCGGGTGTGGAAGAAGCGGAAGGTTGTGGTTAAGGATCTACAGCGGTTGATATGGGCTTGGGAGCAGGGAGATGAGGGCAATGGTCCGAAGTACCGGCTTGCGAATTACGGGCTTGGGAAGGTGTGTTTGGAACGGGTGGCTGTCAATAGAGAACGGGTGGATCGGTTCGACGAAAGGGAGTTACAAGAGCGATTCGAGCAGGTTGTGGACCTGCTGTGGGAGAAGGCTGTGGATGCGGCTGATGGGGATGAGAGCCGGGTGGATTTCTTCGAGACGCTGGGCGTCTCACCCGTGCACGAGTCTCTTACTCCCTTTACGGCGTTTCGAAAGGGCCAGCAGCGGCTGCAGGATTTGAAGGGTGGAGTGATCAAGTTAAAGACTGAGAAGCTGCGAGCGGACTCGCAGCCCGAGATCCCGGCCAAGCCGCTGAATGCGACGACCACGCGCCGGAAGGGGCTTCTGGAGCGGATTAAGAGCAAGGAACTCCTTCAGTCGAAGTTGCCGCCGCCGCCGTCGAAGGAAACGCTGCTTCGGCGCGCGGCTGCTGAACGCGCAGAGGAAGTCGTCGCCGTCCTGGCTTTGCTTCGGCCTGTTGGGTATGTGGGCAGCGGGCCGAAAGCTGTTCTGGCTGCCCAGAAGAAACCGTTCCAGTTGGAGATGATTGTGCAGAACGTTCAGGACTCTCTACGGAACCCAATATCATCAAGGGAGGTGGAAATGTGTGTGGAACTTTTGGCTCGACCAGACATTGCTGGACAATGGATTGAAGTCGTTGCCGTGAATCAAATCAAGTCGGTGGTGCTGAAGTCTTGTGCCAGTGTTCATCCCAAGGAGATCAGTGCTAAGGTCAGCAAGTTGGAATTGGATTAGATGATGATTCTTCGTATGACCCTCCGATCTCTTTCTTTTTGGATGTTTTGTGTCATTGTTCGATACCACTGGAGCATACCTGCATGTCCAGCATTACTTTGCATTATGAGGAAGCATCATGTACATTAGCGCTATATTTATTACCTGCATACATATCCTCAAGTTTACTATAATAATGGAATTCATCAATTCAGAGCAAAACTGTTTAATATGCTTTGTAGCGTCTGTTGTATTTGATTGGCCCAAATCACTTCAACGCGAGACGCGCTCTCACGTGATCGCGTTGCCACAAGTCGCGTCTGCCGCAGCTCTACTTTTATCAGCGGCCAACAGAACAGAGACGCTTTGAATTGACAAGAAAGCTAGCTTCCCGGCTGTCCTTTCATTGTATCGGACAACGCTAGCACAATGTCGTCTCGACCTGATCTGAAGGTAATCACCCGAATCTGTTAAGTTATTCTGTAACCCGGCTAACCACTTCCAGGTCGACGATGAAGTCGGCTTCATTCGCTTCTACCGGTCCCTCTCTTCCGACGGCAACGATGAGACAATCCGAGTCTTCGACCGCGGCGACTGGTACTCCGCACATGGCGCCGAGGCCGAATATATCGCTCGGACGGTCTACAAAACGACCTCCGTGCTCCGCAACCTGGGTCGCAGTGAGACGGGCGGCCTGCCTTCCGTGACCATGAGCGTGACCGTGTTCCGGAATTTCCTGCGCGAAGCACTCTTCAAACTCAACAAACGGGTTGAAATCTGGGGCTCGAATGGAGCAGGCAGAGGCCAGTGGAAGTTGATGAAACAAGCCAGTCCGGGGAACCTGCAGGACGTGGAAGAGGAGCTGGGCAGCGTGGGCGCACTTGCCATGGAGTCGGCGCCGGTAATTCTAGCCGTAAAGATTTCCGCCAAGGCGTCTGAGGCGCGGGGTGTCGGGGTGTGTTTCGCGGATGCGAGTGTCCGGGAACTGGGCGTCAGCGAGTTCCTGGACAACGATGTCTATTCGAACTTTGAGTCGTTGATTATTCAGCTTGGTGTCAAGGAGTGTCTGGTGCAGATGGATGCGAATAGGAAGGATGTGGAGCTGGGGAAGATTCGGGCTATCGCTGACAACTGTGGGATCGCTATCTCCGAGAGACCGGTGGCGGACTTCGGGGTGAAGGATATCGAGCAGGATCTCACTCGGCTGCTCAGGGACGAGCGTTCGGCGGCCACGCTGCCGCAGACGGAGCTGAAGCTCGCGATGGGCTCCGCGTCGGCCCTGATCAAGTATCTGGGTGTCATGTCCGACCCGAGCAATTTCGGGCAGTATCAGCTCTACCAGCATGATTTATCGCAGTTTATGAAGTTAGATGCCTCCGCCCTCCGGGCGTTGAATCTCATGCCTGGTCCGCGGGACGGATCGAGGACCATGAGCTTGTTCGGTTTATTGAATCATTGCAAGACGCCTGTGGGCAGTCGCCTACTGGCGCAATGGTTGAAGCAGCCACTCATGGATCTCGCTGAAATTGAGAAGAGACAGCAGCTCGTGGAGGCTTTCGTCGAGAATACAGAGTTGAGACAGACGCTACAGGAGGAGCATCTCCGCTCCATTCCGGATCTGTACAGGCTCGCGAAGCGGTTCCAGCGGAAACAGGCCAACCTGGAAGATGTGGTGCGAGTATATCAGGTTGCGATTCGTCTGCCTGGCTTTGTCAGCTCGCTTGAGAATGTCATGGACGAGCAATACCAGACTCCCTTGGAGACCGAGTACACCAGCAAGCTGCGCAGCCACTCGGACAGCCTAGCCAAGTTGGAGGAAATGGTGGAGACTACGGTCGACCTGGCTGCGTTGGAGAACCACGAGTTCATCATCAAGCCAGAGTTCGATGACAGTCTGCGCATCATTCGGAAGAAATTGGATAAGCTGCGACATGACATGGACGTGGAGCATCGCCGGGTGGCCAAGGACCTGGATCAGGAGGTAGACAAGAAGCTGTTCTTGGAGAATCACCGCGTGCATGGCTGGTGCTTCCGTCTGACCCGAAACGAGGCGGGCTGCATCAGAAACAAGAGAGAGTACCAGGAATGCTCGACCCAGAAGAACGGAGTGTACTTTACCACTTCAACGATGCAAGCTCTGCGCCGGGAGCATGATCAGCTCTCATCCAATTACAACCGGACCCAGACAGGGTTGGTGAATGAGGTGGTGAACGTGGCTGCATCCTACTGTCCCGTGCTGGAACAGCTTGCTGGTGTTCTCGCCCATCTCGATGTCATCGTGAGCTTCGCCCATGCTGCTGTGCATGCTCCAACCGCATATGTCCGCCCCAAGATGCACCCGCGCGGCACGGGAAATACGGTCCTCAAGGAGGCGCGGCATCCCTGCATGGAAATGCAGGACGACATCTCCTTCATCACCAACGATGTATCCCTGATCCGCGACGAGTCCTCCTTCCTCATCATCACCGGTCCCAACATGGGCGGTAAGTCAACCTACATCCGTCAAATCGGCGTTATTGCGCTCATGGCCCAGACGGGGTGCTTCGTGCCCTGTTCCGAGGCTGAGTTGACAATCTTCGACTGCATCCTCGCCCGTGTCGGCGCAAGCGATTCGCAGCTCAAGGGCGTCTCGACTTTCATGGCCGAGATGCTTGAGACGTCCAATATCCTCAAGTCCGCGACCTCAGAGTCCCTCATCATCATAGACGAGCTGGGCCGCGGCACCAGCACCTACGACGGCTTTGGCTTGGCATGGGCCATCTCCGAGCACATCGTCACCGAGATACGCTGCTTTGGGCTCTTCGCAACCCATTTCCACGAGCTCACGGCTCTCGCGGACCGATACCCCAAATCCGTCAAAAACCTGCACGTGGTGGCCTTCATCGGAGACGGCACTAACGACAACGCAGGAGAAGAAAAGTCCAAGAAGCAGCAGGTGACTCTGCTTTACCGCGTCGAGCCCGGTATCTGCGACCAGTCCTTCGGTATCCACGTCGCGGAGCTGGTTCGGTTCCCGGAGAAGGTGGTCAATATGGCCCGGCAGAAAGCCGAGGAGCTCGAAGATTTTACGTCTGCAGAGGCCCAGGGGCAGCAGGCTGGCGTGTCTATGGACGGATATTCTCAGGAAGAGGTGGAGGAGGGCACCGCGCTGCTCAAGGGGATGTTGTTGAAGTGGAAGGCGGAGATTGAGTCGCCCGACAGGAAGTTGACGGTCGAGGAAAAGAGACAGATCATGCGTGATCTGGTCAATGCTGATGAGAAACTCCGGGCCAACAAGGTCTTCCAGGGTATCAAGGCTTTGTGATGGTCTTCACAAAACTACTTTTTTAAGTTTCGGGTATAGCGTAAGGCGTTGGGCGTGTATACAAGGGTCAAAGCCAAACGGCTAGATATACCGGTTTACAATGATATAATTCTGTTCTTAGTCTTTGAGATGTCGCTACCCTGGTATACTATTTTAGGCCATATGGCACGTTCACCGCTGCAGTATTGTCTACAAAAGCGCCCAAGCACCAGTATGGTCGACTGAGAGATTGCGGTTTGTCAATCATCAAACGGCCATGGCTCTTCCCATGCAATTCTCTCCGCTTCAGGATGAGCGAGCCGGTCAATCATCTCCGTCTTTGCTTGCTTCAGAAGCCTTTTCGTGTCATCATACTTGTCTGTTGGAATTCCATGGCTCTGAACAATGTTTTGTTATTGTTATATGTGAGCCTGCGATATAAAGCTGCAAGTGACGTTTGCAGATATAGTTTCTGGGCTCTGGCTTGCTCGGCAGGGTTGGGTTCATGGAAATTCTCTGGAAATGCTGGGGAATCAATGCCTCACCATCTCTCACAGGTAAGCATCCATCAGAATCATCCAAGTCAGAAGCGTAGTATAGACTGCCATATTCGGTGAATGACGTCGACATCCAAGCTTTTTGAAATCCTGAGATTGCTTTCACTAGTTCAAATCTGTCCTTGATGCTCATTTTCGGCCATACTTTATCAAGCTGGACGCCGGGGGCCTTTTCCATTATAATATCTTCGGCCCAGAAGGTTAGAAGACTGGAGATCTGAGGAAGAGGAGAGGGATGCCGCCTCGTGCCACTTATTAGGGGTAGCTGTTGGCCAGGTTTTCGCAGGTACGCCAGATATCTCCTCTATTGCATCTCGACTTCGTTGGAAAAGTAAGAGAAGTAGCTAGAGTAAGAGAACAATAAGAGTAACTTAAGTGAATCACATGACTCAACCAGCTTGCCTTCGTAAAGCGGCAACTCCAGCAATATATAAAAAAGATCAACACTCGAATACTGGGAATCTAGGTAGATGTTGATTCTGATCAAGTTCGCCCTGGAAAATAGGTACACTCTTTTCACCGAGGGACATCTAATAGGCGTCATTGCTGGGCCACACTGGTACTAGCCGATAAGCTGCAGCTATACCTATTCTGGACCAGTTCTAGTACGCTCTCGGCTGCAGTCTGGAGTTTAGGTACTCCGTATCTCGGCCAGACGTGGTACTCTAGATACACAAGCAACCAACCGCAACAACTGCAACAACCAATACCTAACGAATCCCAGACAAAACAGTCTTCTATCTTGTTGCAAAGGACTGACGCGTCATTCTTTGTCCTCTGCTACTAAATCTACTTCGATCACCAGTTCTCAACCTCCCCTCAGCGATGCGCGCAGACTAAATCACAAAGGCGGAAACGCTAAACTCTGGATTCATGCACCCCTTTTCCATCCTCACTCTCGGTATCTTTGTAGCGGGCTATATCACCGCGCGGTGGGATCTTGTTACGCGGTTATACGAACTGGCCATTTTCGCGTGGGATCACGGTGTCGTGGTGAGTGCGTCTCAGTTCGCGCAACCGCTCCTACTTGCAATTAGGACTGCGGAACACAGGACCACAAATGCGAAGACAATTGAGCTAATAACCCTTGTTCGCAGACACGAACAGCAAAAGGCTTTTTGTTGCTATCAGTCTTCTTCTTCCTCTTGGTCCTTCCGATCAACCATCTTGCGATAAAGGAAGCTGAATTGGTAAATGACGCTATCCGATGTCAATTGCTGCTGAGTGACCGTATGCTGATGCTTCTTTTTTGTATGGCAGCACCCTCGCCCGCCGCATCTGGGTGTGTCCGCTCGCGAACAGCTACGCCGCCGAGGCTCTTTTTGATCCGGATCGAAGGATGACAACATGCTCATGGGCGATGGATTGCTACGGGTATTCTGGCCATACGACCTCCCTCGGTCCTCATCCCCGGGGGTGATTGTTGGATGGAGGAACTCTGAACTGGATTTGTTCGTCCTTACCGTGTTGGAAGATGTTGAGGTAAGTTAGCTGTTCTGTCCCGAGCGGCAGCTCGGCTTGGGGAGCTGGCGGTTGACTCATGGGACAGCCTCGAAATGTCGACAATGCACTACGTGCTGGAATCCTCTTTCGCAACAGCCCTCACCCAATTGCGCGGATATTCACGCTCTGTGGAAGATCGACAATGCATGTTCTGGGATCCACTAATCTTCAAGAGCCGCCATCGGCATTTAACCCGGCCCATCTCTATGTGACAACGCATCCGTCGTCTAAAGTCCCTCGGATATATTGTCCGCCGGAGGCGAATATATCTGTTCAGGTTATCATGTTTCATCGTCCACATCCGACCAGGATGGAGTACATGTCCCTGGATCCGATTTCCCTTGCTCTGGGGGATAAAGTGTCCATCGCTGATAAACCAGAGGTTGTACCTTCGACCATCGATGCCGAAGAGGAGCGGGATAGAGCAGTGCGGGACAAGCTGGTCGAGAAGCTGAAATTACACACAGTCGTCAAACATATGCCTTCGCCTAAGGAGCAAGTACTGCCTCTCATCATCAACCAGGTCAATTGCGCTTATGAAATGGGAAAGTTGATGGAAAAGAATAGCCATCTGATTGGAATCCGGGTTAAGCGAAGTATGAGCGTGGGAGAACGAGTGGTCGAGTCTGCGACAACTCTGTGGGACCTCTTTGTCCTCGGTGTCTCATATGTGTTCTGGCAGTGGATCTGGCCGGTGGCCACTCGTATTTTCATCATCGGCCTCGTCTTCCATCGCACGATTGCCGAGGTTGTTCTGCAGATACTTGAGTGGCGAGCTCGTCCTGATGCAGCTGCTTTGAAAGACATCTCTGCGACGGCTCAGCAGGTTGACATTCGACTCCAGCAATTTTGCTACTGGCCGATACAGTACGTTAAGCTGCGCCAGAGGAAAGACGACTGGGAGAGTGTCACCACAAGTCATCCGGATTACATCCGTTTCTACAACAGCTTGTGGCTCGTTGCCAATGATGTTATCATCGGTATTGCGCTGGGATCATACATCATCGACAACGCCAATTGGGTGGCTTTCCAAATCAACAGTGTCCTCACTGGCTGGACAGTAGAAGGCTTGCAGCGGACGATATCGTGGTTGATGGACTGGCCGGCCGGCTTAAAGCTTAATAACGAGCTTGCTGCATTCTTGGGAGACCTCTTTCTCTGGGTCATTGAAAATTGGGCCGGTATGCATTTTCTTCTACTAGACCTATTGTTCTCTCTCGCTAATTTTGGGGCAGCTTGCATTGCGAATCTACAGCCTTACCTCCCGCATGTCATATACGTCGTTGGATGCTCGAGTTTCGCCGGAGCGAGCATGCCGATCGCCCTTTTTTCCGATCTCGTCTCCATTCTAACTGTGCATATCTACTCGTTCTACGTTGCGTCCGCCCGCATATTCAATTGGCAACTTACTATCATCATATCTCTCTTTCATCTCTTCCGCGGCAAGAAGCGCAACGTCCTTCGGCATCGAATAGACTCGTGTGATTACGACCTTGATCAGCTTCTGCTTGGCACTATTCTCTTCACAGTTCTCTTCTTCCTTCTGCCGACTGTAATTGTATTCTATCTAACGTTTGCCTCTGCGAGAATGTTGATCATCTCGCTAAAAGCGGCACTTGACACATGTTTGGCTTTTCTCAACCATTTCCCTCTATTTGCGTTGATGTTGCGCGTGAAGGATTCCCGACGGTTACCAGGTATGTTGGTTTTGCTTATCTGCTTGATCATCAGTCACTGACCGAATGCGAGGTGGCATTCGTTTCGAACTACGCGAGGAACAGGACAGGTCTCTTCATCCTTACTCCACTGTGCCTTTTATCCATCTCGAGGTATGTTCACCTAATTCATCGTTCCATTAAGACTACTATCAGAGCAAGTCCTGATTGAGATAGTCGATTCCACTCCCCCTGCGCGCCATGTTCGACCAGTACTTCCAACTGGGTCACCGTCTTCGGAAACACTATCTTTCTCCGCGCGTGATATTTTGCCTCTTCACTGGCCGTTTTGTGCCTCCCATCCACCGCCGTAACCTGTACAGTATGCAGTACAGCATGCTCCCTGCCCATCGGGCAGGTATGGCCGAGGTGTGGTCTCTGTTGACCCAGCCCCGAAAGACAAGCAGTGGTAGCAGTGGCTCTTCTTCGATGGGAGGTTTCACGGCTGCAAATGGGTTACTTAGGGTTCCATCGGGGTTTGGACAAGGAGATGTCAGACGACGGGGCTACCGCTATTAATGCTTAATAATGTGAATAATATGTCATGACGTATATAATCAAGAGATTTTAACGCCTAGTCTGTTGCACGGTTGGGTTGCCTCAGTCCTTGCACATGATGCTTTGGGACCATTTCTGATCAACGAATGGGGCTGGCATTTCGCTCAGAAACGTAACCTCCGGGTATGAGTACATGTATGAATAAAGGTACACAGCATGCGATGAAGTCGCCAAAGTATTATACACAAGAGAATCCGTCGTTCTCGAAGACAGATTTCCAGTCAGTGGATATATATAGCTCAGATAGAACATTCGAGCATATGTTCAAGTCATCACACATGAATTTGCCATAGATCTGGTAACGGACGTTTGACGGAAACCGTCCAAGGAAAGCCGGATACTACTGGTAGCAATACCCGACTTGTCGCGGAGGCAAGCATCCAGGAGATCTTGCCCGCAGGAGCGGAGATGAGAGAGTTTGTCCCCAACCCAGGGGACCGGTGGCCAACGTCACTTCACGTTTTCCGGAGATAGTCAGCATCGCTTTCCGAGGCAGTACTTTTTCTCGCCTCTTCGACCATGGTGTCGATGCCTTTTTCTTTCAACGCTTTCTGATGGAATTGTTAGTCTAGGTCGCAGAGATTCTACGATGTCTGCTTTGACATACATGTAAACAAGATTTGTACTTTGAGAATAGTTCTTCGCATTCATTTGACGAGGTTTTGCCACGCAGGTATTCTGTCATAGTTAGCGGGCATTTTTTACATTGCTAATCGGGAAGAATAGATGCGTACTTTCGCTGTACCACTTCAGAAAACAAGTATCATACTTTCTGGGGGTTGTCAGTCGAGCTCTTTGTCTGTGGTTGCCAGTGGCAGTAGTAGGGGAAAATATACTCTTTCAGGTCATTGCATTCTGGGGCTATGGAAGCTGCCATTGTGAGCTAGCTTACTGTGTCTGGACCTGTTGATGTATTTCAAAGAGGTTGGAATATTCAAACCTCCTGTCTTTCACCGCATTCAATGTCTCGCTGTCAATGAGATTGTCTATGGATCCAGTATACTTGGAGTCGAGAACTTGTAGCTGGAGACGATCGTCGAGATACCGCGGCTAGACCAATCATGGTAGGCGGTCGGTGATTTTTTTCTCCGGCGGGTGCATTTCTCCACCTCCGAGCTTTCCTCAATTTTTCGGGTTATTATTTTGTTCCTGCGAGTTTATATCTTCTGTCTCTTCGTCTCTTGCTTGGCTGAGTTCGGCTTTGGACTCAGATATTCTCTGCCAATCATGGAATCTGCGGCAGATTTCCCACCGTTTCAGCAACGGTTAACGTCCAGTCTGGTGCAGATGACCCGCACCGTTGGACAGCTCTCTGCAGAGGATCTGGATTTCCACCGGACCTCGAGCGCCGAAGTCTCGGAATCCTTGGATGAGCAGAGTGATAGGATCTTGTCGTTGACTTCGACCATTCTCAAGGCTGCCACAGCCGGGACAGATTTACCCGCACCTAAACTGCACGATGAAGACTCTGTCGAAGACAATTGGCGCGGTGTTGTTGATGTTATCGATGCGCTGCTAGAGAGGGCAGACGCCTGCCTCGATGAATTTACGGGAGTCATCAAGAAATTGAGCCCGTCGCAGCAGGAGCAGAGCGCAGCAAAGGCCGCCAAAAAGGCCTCCACCAAGTTCCCCTCCGTTTACGATTTCGGCCCGTCGAAGATCCCCAAGCCGCAATTGTTGTTTCAGCGCCCCCCCAATAACACCGATGTTTCTCCTTTTAAGCCTCTTCTTCGAATCAAGCCTCACGCGATTGTTCCGTTGGAGGATTCGTTGAAGTCGACAGATCCTGCGCAAGGTTATAGGAATCCGTACGAAACGGAGATCCGGGCTGCCAAGTATCCGGAATCGACCTATACTGTCTCTCACCCGGTCGAGTACCAGCCGTTTGAATCGACCGCTGCGACTTTCGTGGACACCCTGGAAGGAGTGAAGGAGATGTTGAGCGAGCTTAAGTCGGCAAAAGAGATTGCTATTGATTTGGAGCATCACGATGTGCACTCGTATCATGGCTTGGTGTCCCTGATGCAGATCAGCACTCGGGACAAGGATTGGGTTGTTGACACGCTGAAACCTTGGAGAGAAGAGCTCCAGATTCTCAATGAGGTATTTGCGGATCCTGGAATTCTCAAAGTCCTCCATGGCTCGTCCATGGATATTATCTGGCTGCAGCGAGATCTTGGCCTCTACGTTGTGGGCATGTTCGATACCTACCACGCCGCCTGTGCCTTAAACTACCCGAAGCGGAGCTTGAAGTTCCTCCTTCAGAAGTTTGTCAACTTCGAAGCCGACAAGAGATATCA